TATACCAAGTGGGAAAGCAAACTCAACCAATTTCAGTATTAGAGTTCCAAGTTCTTACAATTGCAATTAACCCTGTTAAAAATCACTCATAAATAAATCATATAATCCTAGCAGCATCTTCCCCCATCTTCTCTTACCTAGATCCATCAGGAAAGAGGAAATACATTCAGTATGCATGGTCCCACCTAGTTGTTTGGTAGGGCTTACAAAGTTACAAGTTATCAAGTAAATCACTGTACCACACCAGCAATGCAATAAATTACTCAGACACCTACCTTTTTTACTTAAATGCAGACCAAAGAACAGATCTTATTTTTAACCCACAGAGTATCTGAACATGTTTCACACACACATATTTATTTGCATATCTCTACATTACATTTTTTGCAATATATGTTTGCCATATTCTATGTATTCACTCTTATAAATCCATGTATATTTATATATAGCATGTGTATATATTTTTCAGTTTATTTAGATTCCCGTGTTGCCAGATCCAGTCATCAAATAAATTAGATCCAATAGAAGCAAATATTTTGTCACATGGATATTAACTTACCACTCAGATTTGTGTGCTTCTCTTTTTAAATTATTACTTAAGTAGACCTCCTCTTGATTTGTACTAAAATTAATTATAACTATTTTAAAATTTGTTAGTAATTTATTATTGTTGTTCCTATCTTGTTATACACCTGCTTTAAGGGACAGAGACTATATTTTCCTACTCTTTTCCTCCAGAACCCCAAACAGCATCTGGAACAAAACAGACCCAATTTGCTTTTGTTGAATTAAAATATGGCTTGGATTTCAAAATACAGGTGTGGGACTATTATTTAAAGAGCAAGTAGGATAAATTATATTCCTCATTAATCTTACTACTGTAGCATTGAGAGAATTTAGGCATAGAGTTCTAGCAAATTATATCTTATTTTCTGGGAATAATTGAGTCTATTGAGGTCATGGAACCATGAACAAACATCACAGGTTTTAGAATTTTAAGTAAGCAGACTTCATCCTTGGGGGACTATAGTAGATACATTGGTTATAGGTGCCAATGTATAAAAGATTCATAATTCAGGCCATAATTACAACAAGTAGACAAAACAAAACTCACTGTCCTCAAGTCAATGCTGACCCGGAGAGAGACCCCTGTGAGTTTTGAGACTGTACCAGAGCTGCTGATGGTTTCGAACTTCCAATTGCAGCCCAACACATAATCAGTTCACCACCAGAGGTATTTAAAACAGATGAGGGTAAGTAAAAATGTATTGCTGCTAGTTTTTACAGTTTATACATGCTCTGGGCTCAAAATGAACAATTGTAAAGATGGTGCATGACCGGGAAGTGTTTCATTATGTTACACATCACAGTACAAAGAGT